GCAGCAGCTGGGTAGAGCATCTTTCCCCAAAGGTCTAGAGGCTCCTGGGAAAAGGCATAGGCTCCCCAGGGATGAGCACTCTCTCCAGGACTGCAGGCTAGGCTGGTCTGCACCTGGCTTAGTCTTCTTAATTTAATGAAGTGGGGTGACTTGCCTGGTGGTCCAATGGTTAAGATTTTACCTTCCAGCAGCAGAGCTGTGGGTTTGACCCCTGGCTAGGGAGCCAAGATTCCCACAAGCCTTGCCATCAAAAGACAGAAGCAATATTGTAACAAATTCAATAAAGACTTTAAAAGAGAAAAGAAAGGAGTGGGAGAATTAAAATCCTGTTAAAAGGGAATACTCAGGTAGCCCGGGATGGCAGGACTTGGCTCCAGGCTCCTTCAGAAAGGCATGCCTGCTTCAGCTTTGGTCCTGGACGCTCCTCTCCCAGTGCAAACAGGCATTAAGAAGTTGCCCTCTGCTGGGTGGGTACCCAGATCCCCTCAGCCCCCCAACATGCACACATCTGCTCAAGCTTCCACTAGATTGCATGATAAGTTGCTTCAATCGTGTCTGACTCTTTGCGACCCTGTAGACTGTAGCCCTCCAGGCTCCTCTGTCCATGGGATTTTCCAGGCAAGAGTGCTGGAGTAGGTTGCCATTTCCTTCTCCAGGGGATCTTCCTGACCCAGGGATGAAACCTACATCTCTTACGTCTCCTGCATTGGCAGGCAGGTTCTTTACCACTGGTCCAGGAGTTTTTTAAAGACTTTTTTTTTTAAAATATGGACCATCTTTAAAATCTTTATTGAACCTATTACACTACTGCTTCTGTTTTATGTTTCAACTTTCTGGCCATGAGCCATGTGGGATCTTAACTCCCTGATCAGGGATCGAACCCACACCCTCTGTATTGGAAGGCAAATTCTTAACCACTGGACGACTCAGAAGTCCCTGGCCCAGGTTTTTGAGTTACCCAAGCAGGAAGCTGGAGTCATCCCCAGGATGACCACCGAAGGCCCTTCTTCCCAAGAGTCACTCCCTCCTGAGCCTTCAAAATGAGTGAAACATCATCTTCAGGAGAGTTGCTTTCTGAGCTGAGAAGCCTGAGGGATGGAGTCAAAAAGAAGCTCTAGCTATGAGCCCCAGGCCAACCTCAGTGCATGGAAGGCAAGATGGGCCAGAAGCAATTTATGTTTCCCGCAGATGGAACCAGAACACAGGAGCTTTGGTTTCCAAAATGAGATACCTTCAGACTTATCCCCGCCACCCCCTACCCACCTCCACCCCCCCACTGACAAGCACTGTTTGGATGAGGATAAGCTGTCTGTTCTGTGATGTAACAAGCATGGGACACAAAGAGGAACAAGCATGCAAGATGTGCCTGCTGCCCTCATGAAGTTCACAGCCCAGTGGGGGAGCCAGCAAAAAGACCACCCCACTATGGGATGACAAGGGTGTGATGGGCCAGGGCCCACAGCCCTAACTCCATCTGGAGAATGGTGTCTACAGCCCTGTGGGAGGGAGTGCCAAGGATCTCAGGGAGGGGAGACACATGACTGGAGTTGAAGATAACTTGCCAGGTAGACTGAGTCAGTGGGCTGGGCATGAGAGGAGGCAGACACATGCTGAATATAATAGACACTGAATGAATGACTGGATGAAAGCAACTTGTGTTATATTTAAAGAAAACAACTGTGGGTTATAACTGAATTGGTCAAGGAGACTAATGGCATGAATAAGGATTTTCAAAAAAGAGCTGCCATGTCACGGCTGATCTCAAGTCCCCTGAGACCACTGTCGTCTTCACTTCCGTGTCTAAGATGAATCAGTAATTTACTCAGGCTAGTTAAAGTAAACTAGACAGGGTCTCATTTGGTGAATCATCAAAAGCAACTGTGTTTCTTTTGATTATTTGCCATGAGTGAGGTTTGTTTTGGCAACCCCAAGTAATGGAGAAGATGATCCACAGGGCTGGTTCCTCATGAGTGACTCCAGGCTGGAAAAACTTCTAGAAACAGGGTGGGAGCATGGGGTAACATGGGCAGTGCTGGGGCTTGGAGACTGCAGTTATGTTTTTGTCCTCATTCACTCACCATGCTCCCTCTCAGGGCTTCAGCTCTACCCTCTGGAAGGGGAGGCTGGGTAAATGTACATTTTTAGGATTTTTAGCTCTGTTATGCACCTGTGGTTCTGACTAACCTGGACTCATCAGACAGTAGAAACCCCACCTTCCCTGCCTCCCCCATGAATGAGAAATCCACTCTAGGAGTGCCTGGGAACTGACCCTCGGGTAGTCAGCCTGGCCATGTGTCCTGCCCGAACCCTACTATGAAGTCACTGAATTTGCTGAGCAATCTTTTCAAATTTAAAAACTGGTGACCTCCAGATACACTTCATTCAGAGGCCACAGGTCCAAAAAAATATTTTCTTTTTATCAGAAGAATGGAAAACCTGAGTTCATGCACTTTTAAGTTCAGTAAATGGGAAAGATGCTAATAGATGATGGTTTCAGGTGTCTGCACAAAGGCAAAGGAGGAGGAGCTGTGAGAGTGAGGTGCTGGAGGAAGGCAGGAAAGATCTTTCTGGGAGCTGACTTTATGTTGACTCTCAGGAGTACCTACAAGATAGTGTTACCATAAGAAATGGAGGCTCAGAGAGGTCCAAGCTCTCAGGTAAAATGGGACGCTCTGGCTTCCCAAGCATCCTTCAGCTGGTTAGACAAAGACCAATGCCCACGGGACTTCCCTGGTGGTCTGGTGGCTAATGCTCCGAGTTCCCAATGCAGTGGGCACGGGTTCAGTCCCTGATCAGGGATCTAGATCCCACATGCCACAGTGAAAATAGAAAATCCCATGTGTAACAACTAAGACCTGGCACAGTCAAAAAAAAAAAACCAAAAAACCACCAACGCCCATTCAGGGGGTAGTTGGGTCCAACTTAGGGCTCAAGGGGTCCCTACTTGCCTACTGAGCCCTTCCTGCAGCTCAAGAAGCCCTCAAACAAACATCATAGCAAGAAAGAAACTTCTCCAGGAGCCTGACACAGATGATTTCATAAACCAGTGAATTCATAGATCAGTGAGTGATGTTGGGCCACTTTCTCAGTGTTCTGTGCCCCCAACCCTTTACTGAGAGGAAGATTTGCAGATCTTCTCTAGCATCCATATTCTCTGATGCACCTTAAAGGAACTTGAATGTCTTTATTGCTCCAGGAGATTGGTAGTTAACAGGAAAGGTTGGCAAAGGCATGTATCCCTCACCTTTGGTACTAACGTTCTATAGGAAATCTGCCATCAATCAGTCAGTTCAGTTGCTCGATCATGTTCAACTCTTTGTGACCCCATGGATTGCACTGTATATCTGCCATCAATATCTCCCAGAAAATCTTCCTCCAGCTGCAGACTCCAAGGCATCAGGGAAACTGTTCAATCTAGAGGTCAGAGTGGGCCCCATGCTTCAATAAACAAGGCTGAGAACAAACAGGTCAATGTCCTGGGAGGCTCTTCTCACAAAACTTTGCTATGCAGGAACCAGGGATGACCCTGCCTCTGCAGAGCACACGGGGACATCTCCATTGGACCTGGGGCTAGTCCATTTAGGAATTTTTAGAATCTAATAAGTCTCTTCTGTAGACAGTCTTGGCCCTGGGAAGAGAGAGACAAATAAGGTTAGGAAGGGCTGAAAATCTCTGGGGCTCAGACAGAACTGTGGAGGACCAAAGTGCGCTTTGAGTCTGAAGACATCGGCTCAAACAAATCGGGGAAGGAAAGTGGAGATGTGACGGCCAAGGGTTAAGGAAGCCTGTGGACAGGTGGATGCTGAGGGAGGGGAATCAATCTGTATCGTGTGAGAAGGATGATCACCGAAGCAGATGAGAATGGACTGGTGCTGGGATCCTGAATCAGAAAAACCTTGGCTTGAGAACTGGCGCTACCACTTCCTGTATCTTGGGCAAAACCACTCGGTTCACAAAGCCACTTCTCACCGCCGGCCAGGAGTAAATAGCGACCCCTTCGCTGCCCTCCTAATGCATGCCAGACACCGCTAAACGTTTCATGTGCTCTTGCTCAGACACAATATTTTAGAAGACAGATTTCATTGTTGCTGTGATAGAGGAGAATGGGAGCGTTAGTGGCGATAGTGCGAAAGCGCAACGCCCAGCGTGTAATTAGATGGGGAAAGTCAAACTCGGAGGGTTTAGTACTTCCAGCAACGAGAATGGCTAACCTTCAGGAAGGGCTGGGGATTTAGCAATCAGAGAAAACCTGGACAATCTAGCGCAGCTGGTGTGATTGTTCTCAAGTGTTTGGTTTGGGGGCGCCAGGTGGGGCTTTATGGATTGAGAGATCTTTCAGCTGTTGATACTGCCTCCAAGCTACGACTCCCCGTCCCAGCCTTGACTCTGTATTTACAAAGACAAGAGGTCAGTCGACGCCCCGAGAATCCAGGTGGCTCACTGGCTCCGAGAAGGCGGAGCCCACCGCAGGGCGGGGGGAAGATTGAATTCTCCCATCAAGGCCAAGGACGCCGAAGCTCTCCGTTCCTTTGTGGTTGGGGGAGGCTCCGGGCGCGGGGAAGGAACACCGCCCTCCAGGCGCCGCGCGGGAGCCCCACCCACTTTGGCCCCGGCACTCCTCCTCGGCCCCGCCCCTCAAGGCTCGCCTGTACTTCTAAGCCCCGCCCTCGTCACATCCGCCAGTTCCGGCCAGGCCCCTACCGAGCTCCTTCTCGCCGCTCAAAGGCACCCTTCCTTCGAAGCCCCGCCCCTCGCAGCCGGTCCTCGCCCCAAGCCCCGCCCCTCGCGGCCAGACCTCGCCCCTAGCCCCACCCCCTAAACCCGCCTCGGCCCTCCTCCTCGGTCCCGCCCCTCAAGGCTCGCGCGTTCCTCTAAGCCCCGCCCCCGCCACATCCGTCCGTCCTTGCCAGGCCCCTACCGAGCTCCTTCTCGCCGCTCGAAGGCACCCTTCCTTCGAAGCCCCGCCCCTCCCGGCCAGGCCTTGCCCCAAGCCACGCCCCCTAGATACCGCCCCGCCCCTCGCAGTCCCGGGCTCCGCTCTGCCGGAGGCGCGGGCTGTGGGGCCCCGCGCCTTTTGTGTGGTGCTTGGGCCGCCGCGCGCGCTTTCCCCTCAGTCTCGACTCCTGGGCTGAGTTCGCGCCCGCGCGCGCGCACTCGCACTCTTGCCCGCCTCTCCGTCGACGGTCTCGCAGCCGCCCGCGCCCGCCCGGGAACTGCGCCCCGAGTCTCGGGCGGGCGCGCGCGCTCCCCGCCCCGGTCGGCGGGACCTGGACGGCGCTCGCCCCTTCCCCTTCTTCTCCCTTCCCCCCAACCCCCGGCGGCGCGCGCACACGGCGGCCCGGGCACGCGCCCGCCAAGATGGCAGGGGCCGGGGCCCGGCTGTCAGGCGCCGCCGCCTCAGCCCGTCCCCACAGCTAGCGGCCCTGACCCCCGCCCCGAGAAGATGAGCCCCCGCTGCCCCCCGCAGCCCAGCGAGACGCGGAGCCGCCGCGCCCGGGGCCGGCTGCCCCGCTAACGCCCCGCGCCCCGCGCCGCGCCCCCCGGCCCGCGCGCCCGCCCGCCCCGGCAGCGACAATGAGGTGAGTCTGGCGGGCGCGTGGGGAGGCCGGGCGGGCGGCGTGCGGAGCGCGGGGAGGGCCTCAGGAGCACCGGGGGTGGGGGGACTTTGGGGACGCTGGGAGGGTCTGGGGGAGTCGGTGCGGGCGGCGCCCACCTGTGCAGCTCGCGGGAGGCACTCGCGGGGGGCTGGCGGCCGGGTGGAGAGACGACCCCGCGGGCGTGTGTGGCCGCGCCGGGCCCCGAGCAGCCCCCCTCCTCTGGCCGCCCTCCCCCGGACTCCGTCCCCTCGGCCTCAGCAGCCCTGTGCCGCCTCCCCGAGCTCGCACGTTAAGGGGTCGTGTCCTTCCACCTGGAGCTGCTCGCCTGACTCTGCTCCCTTTTTCTCGTCCCTATTTCCTTTCTTCTTGCACGCCACTCGAGTGCAAGACCCACAACGTACCATTCTATGGTTCATTACCCAGCCAGGGGGGATTGATGGTTATCAGTTCGAGAAAAAAACATTGCCAGCACCAGGAGCTCGAAATTCTCTCTCTCCAGAGGTCACCCAATCCTGACTTTTGCGGATAATCACTTCCTTGCCTTTTGTCTTTGTAATTTTACCTTCCAAACATATATCCCATAAACACTATAGTGTCTTTAATTTTTCCCCGTTTTGTGATCTTTATATAAATGAAATACTCATACAGTGTATATTCTTTTGTGTGTCCGGCTTCTTTCACTCAAGATGTTTCTGAAATTCATCCATTACCTCCTAACTGTTGCTCATTTTTATTAATCTGTCATATTTCATTATATGAAGATACTGCATCTTAACCATTCCGCTACTTGAGGACATTTGTTTCTAACACGTTAGCCGCTCAGGTGCCTCCGACTCTTTGCGATTCTATGGACTGTAGCCCTCCAGGCTCCTCTGTCTTTGGGATTCTCCAGGCATATGTACTGGAATGGCTTGCCATTCCCTTCTCCAGCAGATCTTCCCCACCCAGGAATCAAACCTGGGTCTCCTGCATTGTAGGCAGATTCTTTACCGTCTGAGCAGTAGAACTTCTAGGTCAAAAGATACCTGTATCTTCCAACTTTAAGAGGTAACACCAAATTTCTGAAGTGCCTGTACCAGTTTACACTCCTTCCAGCAGTGTATGAGAGTTCTCCTGCTTTGCTTCCTTGTCAACACGTGGTATTGTCAGTCTTGAATTTTAGCCATCCTAGTGATTGTGCAGGCAGCCTGGTGAGGTATCCCATTGTGGTTTTGGATTATGGTTTCTTGCAGATTGATGAGGCTGAACATCTTTTTATGTTTACTTGATATCTTCTTTTATGAAGTATCTGTTCAGAAGTTTTTGTTTGGGGTTTACACATCTTTTTCTTCCTAATTTGTGGGAGTTTTCTGCCAAAGTCAAGAAGATAGTTTCCTATAACATCTTACTGCCCTGCCTTTCAAAGTAAGATCCACAGTCCACTTGGAAGTGATTTTGTATAACTTGTGAAAAGGGGGTCAATTTTTTTATTTTTACCAGAACCATTTATTCAGCACTGTTTATGAAGAAATGTCATCTTTTCCCCATCGCTCTGCTGTGCCACCTTTGTCATCTTCCAGTCTTCCATTTGGAATCATTTCTTTCCATCTGAAGAATTCCCTTTAGAATTTCTTTAGTGCAGGTCTGCTGGTGGCAAATTCTTAGTGTTCACAGATTTCATTATTTATTCTTCATTGAAAAAGATCTCTTGAGATATCATTCCCATATCCTAAAATATACCCATGTAAAGTATACAGTTGGGTGATTTTTAGTATTTTCATACACACACACTTGCAGTATTTTCGCAGACTTATGAAACCATTGCCACAGTCTAATTTTAGAACAGGTTCCTCCATTTTAGAAGGGTCTTTTCAGTAGTTGCAAAATTCTTGGTTTACCATTATTTTCTTTTAACACTTTAAAGATACCTCATCGTTTCCAAAGATTGTTTCTGTTGAGAAGTCATTTGTCGTTCTTTGAAAGTAATCTTTGAAAGTGACCATTTAAATTTTTAAAAAACTTAATTATTAAAAAAAATTTATTTGGCTTTACTGGGTCTTAGTTGAGGCACATGGGATCTTTGATCTTCATTGCAGCATGCAGGACTCTTAGTTGTGGCATATGGGATCCAGTTCTCTGACCAGAGATCAAACCTGGGCACCCTGCATTGGGAGCATGGAGTCTTAGCCACTGGACCACCTAGGAAGTTCATCTGGCTGCTTTTGAAATGTTCTCTGTCTTTGGTTTTCAACAGTATTTTCTGTGCTGTATGGATTTTTTTTTTTTTTAAAGAGTAACATAACTTAGGGCTTCTTGAATCTTTGGCTTCGTGTCTTTCATTCGTTTTGGAAGTCTTGTGCCAGGAGGACTTCATATATTGCTTCTCTCCCGTCCGTTCTCTCTCACCTTTCCTTCTAGCACTACAATCATACGCGTTAGGCTATTTCACTGTATCTTCTGTGTCTCTTAACCTTCCTTCTGTGTTTGCTGTCTCTTTCCTTCATTCTGGATCTCCCCTCACTTATCTTCCCTATCACTTGAGTTTTTAATTTCAGTTATTATATGGTTTTTGGTTCTTTAATTTCCATTTGGTTTTCTTTTTATAGTTTCTTTGTATAGTTTCCAGCTATCTGCCAAAATTATCAGTATTGTCTTTCATCTCCTTGAATATAGTATGTGTAATTCTTGAAGTTTGCCCCATTATGGCAGTTATTTGTAAGTCATTTCCAGCGTCTGTTTTCCTTGTCTTTCATTCGTTTTGTCTTGTCTCCTTATGTGTCTAATTGTTTTTGCTTTTTAATTTGTTTTGTTTTGATTCTGCTGGACATCGAATTTGCAAAATTGTAGAAAGTAATTTGCCCAAGATGGTGTTTTTCTCTTTCAGAGATAAGTCACATTTGCTTTTGCCAGACAAATGGGGCACTCTAACCTGGAGTCACTTTGGTGCAGTCTCCAGGATTGGGGTGTTTCTACCTGTCCTGTTGACCTTTAGTGCTGGTGTTCATCGCTTCTCTATCCCTGTTATCCCCCAACCCAGCGCCGTGCTTTTAGGGTTCCCCCTGGAGTTGGCAAAGTAGCCCCAGGGAGAAGTAGCCCCAAGCACTGATCTCATCTCCCTGAGCATCTGACCTCCCTTCTTCAGGCCTCCAGGCAGACTTGCATTTTATTTTCCCCCTGCTTTTCTAGTTCTTTCCAGCTGGAGGATTGTTCTGATTTACTAAGTTCTTGTTTACTGGACGTGAAAGTCTCTGATGTGGTGGCGCTGGTAGTAAAGGACCCGCCTGCCAATGAGGAGAACTGAGAGAATCGAGTCCGGTCCCTGGAGCGGGAAGATCCCTGGAGGAGGAAATGGCAGCCCACTCCAGTATTCTTGCCTGGAGAATCCCATGGACAAAGGAGCCTGGTGGGCTGCAGTCCATGGGGTTGCAGAGTCAGACGTGACTGGAGAAACTTAGCACACACGCAAAAAGCCCCTGATATCAGGGCCAGTTTGAGTCAACATTCAGTTTTGGAGGAGACTTAAGCTGTCAGGTTACAGAAGCTGTGGAGAATAACACCATGTATTTTCTTGTGTTATAACTATATTAGAGCGTTTCAGTTTGTGATATGCACTTAGAATCAAGGTAGCTTTAAGCATAAATCTTTATTTCCTTTTAGCAAGTAATTAATTGGGAAAAATGGCAGATCATTACTGTAAAGCAAAGGAAGCAATTGCTTTTTCTCCCTTTGAATAGTTATTTCTTTTTTCTGTCTTGATTTCCTTCGTTGTTTGTTTGATAAATCCGCTTGACTAGAACATTTTATTTTTTGATCTATAATAGAATTCTCACATCCCATTTTGGGGGATCAGATGACAAGTCATGGATATAGAAATGAAAGTTTTTAAATACTTTTTCCAAAATGAGTCATCCAGTTACCCTTTTTCTTTATGGATTTTTTTTTTCTTTTAAAATGCTGCTAACAGTTTCACATGGTTCTGTGTTGCAGACTGTTTGTAGGTAAACATCTATACGTGTATATTTACATGTACCTAAAATACTAGGCTTTTGCAAATGGATCTAAATGAGTCGAGGGGGGTCTTTTCATTGTCTTTGTTGTCAACTCATTTAATTTAGATATTTATAAGCAGTATGGCTCATCTGTGAAAATCCTTTTGTTTAATGTGGAAATTTTTTAAATGACAATGTCATATTTTTCTTGCTAGATAATCTCATGGGAGTGCATAGATTGAAAAGGGTCAGAAATGAAACCTCCGAACTGACCCTCTCCAGGAGTATCTTAGAAAGGCGTAGGGCTGGAGATGCATTCTAACAAACAAACTGAACATCTGAGGCACATGTCCATGTATTGTAGTAAAAAACTGCGTTGAATCAGTTGATGTGGATAACTAGGGCTGTGTCTGAGATTTTCTTGGGCTTCCCAGGTGGCACTGCTGGTAGAAACCCACCTGCCAGTGCAGGAGACGTGAGAGGCGTGGGTTTGACCCTTGGGTCGGGAAGATCCCCTGGAGGAGGGCATGGCAACCCGCTGTAGTATAGTATTCTTACCTGGAGAATTCCATGGACAGAGGAGCCTGGCAGGCTACGGTCTCTAGGGTTGCAAAGAGTCAGACACGACGCAAGTGACTTAGTACATTGAGTTTTTCTTAATTTTCTAGACTGTTGCCTGAATTCTTATTTCTTTTTTTCTAACAGACCTTATGTATTCTCATATCTTTATTCAGAAATCACCTTTGGAGGCCTTACCATTGTCTGGTACTGGTTTAGATGGAAAGAAGGAACCAAACCTCCTCCCCCAAGTAGTCCCCATCCCTAAAAGATTTACAGACCCTTATAGAGGCCTGGCGTGCTGTGACTCATGGGGTCGCAAAGAGTCGGACACGACTGAGTGACTGAACTTACTGACTGACAGACCCCTTTCTGAATCCTTTTTCTACTTAAAAACAAAAAATACCCACATATAGAGTATACAAAATATTTGTTTGTATACTTTAATCATTTATC